GCGCCCCCCCCCCCACTGCCGCGGCTTCGGCTTCGCCGCTGGTGTGCTCTGCCTGCCACCGCCCCAGCCCCCAGGGCGGCTGGACCCCCGGGATTGCGTGCCAGCGGTGGCCCGTCACAGTCATGTGTACCTAATTTGTTAATGAGAACATTATGTGAGATTGCATGAGCTACCGTACTAAAGTCTAGCTAGATCACATCTACAGCTTCCCCTTATCCACAAGGCTTGTTACCTGACTAAGAAAGCTTTCAGATTGGTTTGACATGATTTGTTCTTGACAAATCCATTCTGATGGTTACTTATCACTGTATTATCTTCTAGATCAGCAGTGGGGACTCTCCAGCCCCCAGTGGGGGTTGCATGCACTTCATCAAGGTTAGCTGCTGTGGGCTGTAAAATCATTTATTTACTGAGTGTCTGCAATCACAGAGCCCTGCAGCTCCCATTTGCTGTCGTGCCATATTCCTGGCCAATGGGAGCTGTGGGGAAGCAGAACCCTGGCATACAGGTTCCCCGCCCCTGTTCTAGTTGTTCGCAACTGGATTCCTTAATTATTTGCTCCATTATCTTTCCTGGTATAGAAGTTGAGCTGACTGGTTTGTAATTCCCTGGGTTGGCCTTGTTTCCCTATGTATAGATGGGCACTGTATTTGTCCCTTTCCAGTCTTCTGGAATATCACCTGTCTTCCATGACTTTTCAAAGATAATAGCGAATGGCTCATATACCTCCTTGGTCAGCTCCTTGAATAATCTAGGATGCATTTTATCAGGCCCTGGTGACTTGAAAACATCTAATGTGTTTAAATAATTTTTAACTTGTTCTTTCACTATTTTAGCTTCTTACCCTACCCCATTTTCCCTGGCATTCACTACGTTAGGTGTCCCTTTGCCACCAACCTTCTTGGTGTACATCAAAACAAAGAAGCCATTAAACATCTGTCATTTCCCCATTTTCAAAGAATGATAGAAGACTGGGGTTGGAATAGATCCCAGGAGGTCATCTAGTTCATCTCCCTGCTCAAAACACGACCAGCCCCTACTAAATCATCCTATCCAGGGCTGTGTCAAGCTTTGTCTTAAAAACCTTTAGGGGTGGAGATTCCATTACGTCCCTAGGCAACCCATTCCAGTGCTTTCCCACCCTCCTAGGGGTCCCTAGGCAACCCATTCCAGAGCTTTCCCACCCTCCTAGGGAAATAGTTTTTCCTAATATCCAACAGAGACCTTCCCCACTGCAGCTTGAGACCATTGATCCTCTTGTTTAGTCATCTGCCACCATTGAGAACAGCCTCTCTCCATCCTCTTTAGAGCCCCCTATTCCCTTCAGGTAGTTGAAGGCTGCTTTCAGATCCCTCCTCACTCTTCTACCGACTTAATAGGCCCAGTTCCCTTAGCCTCTCCTCATAAGTCATGAGCCCCAGCCCCTTAATCATTTTCATTGCCCCCTGCTGGACTCTCTCCAATTTTGTCCACATCCTTTTTGTAGTGAGAAGCCCAAAACCAGATGCCGTACTCCAGATGTGGTCTCAGATGTAGTGAATAGAGGGGAATAATCACTTCCCTCGGTCTGCTGGTAATGCTCCTGCTAATGTAGACCAATATGCCATTAGCCCTCTTGGTGACAGGAGCATGCTGTTGACTCACTTTGTTGTTTTTTCCTCCTCATTCAGTAAGGGGCCTACCCTTTCTTTGGTCTTCCTCTTGCTTCTGATGATTTTTTAGAATGTTTTCTTATTACCCTTTGTCTCTTTCTAGTTTGATCTCATTTTGTACCTTGGCCTCTCTAATTTTGCCCCTGCATATGTATGTTATTTGTTGTATTCATCCTTCCAGTGCTGAGAGAAGCAGCCTGACCACACATCAGGAACATGTTTGGACTCTCCTCCTCTCCCCCCGGGAGAGAAGTGTGTGCAGTGGAATGTCAGGTTTTGGGAGGGTTTTGTGTTTTTTAAAAATATCCTGTTGCAATTGTCTTGTTAGAGAAAGCAATTTGCTGTGCCTTCAGAGACTTCATTAGAGATAAATTGTATATTAAGTCAGCATAACATCACAAGTCTTCCAGGTAGTTGTGGTGGTGTTGCTTAACTATCACATACCTTATAGAATAGGAAGAGAGAGGTAGTCGTGTTAGTCTGATCTTGCTAAAACAAAAGGAAAAACTATGTAGCACTTTAAAGACTAACAAGAAAATATTGATCTCAGGAAGTGGGTCTGGCCCATGAAAGCTCATCACCTAATAAACCATCTTGTTAATTTATACCTTATGGAATGAAGCATCAGGGTATTACTCTTCCCATAAGTTTACAGAAGATCAGTTTCTGTAATGTCTCACTTGCTGTGTAGGTTTGAGTTGCTACATGACCCATCCTATTTTATGCCTAGTAGGCTGACCCAATCGACCCCCTCCCCCTTTTTTCTTTTTTGCAAGTGAGGGTCACATGGAGTCTTTTTTTTTTTCTATGGAATATCTCTTGAACTTATTCTAGGTGAAAAAACTTAAACAATGAATAGTCCTGCAGCACCTTAGAGACTAACAAAAAATATAGATGGCATCATGAGCTTTCGTGGGCACAGCCCACTTCTTCAGATAGTTGTGCCCACGAAAGTTCATGATACCATCTACATTTTTTGTTAGTCTCTAAGGTAGGGGTCCGTAACCTTTCAGAAGTGGTGTGCTTAGATTTAACTTATTCACTTGTATTTTCAGGTCTGCATGCCGTCAATACTTTTTAAAGTCAATAATAGTCCTACTTACAGCAGCTTCATTAATAAATAAAGATGCACATCTTACTGTTTTAGTAACACAGGATTTTAAAATATCATTAAAATCAGAGTTTTAGATATTTGGAACACTCCAAAAAAATTCTGTTAAAAGAATCTTTTTCTTTCGTTTTTTGGGATACACAGGCTTAATTCTTGGCTCCATCACAGACTTCGAGTGAGTTCAGGTAAGCCCCCAAAGGTACATCTACACTACAGCTGGCGGTGTAAGTTACAGCTCAAGGAGTGGGGCTGGGCCTTCACCTACTACCCATGCTTAACTGCTTCTAAAATGTTTTGATTGGTGATAAACTGAGGCTCTTCTTAAAACCCAACAGATATAGACACACATTGGTTTGCAGGCCCTCTTGGTGTTGGTGTTAGATATTTACTCAGCTTGTATTATATAGGATCAGATGAACCGTAGTAGGGCCTCTATTTTGAGTCAGTAATAGTTTCCATCTGAGTAGGAGGATGGCCATGATTTACTATTGTGGTCAGCTCTAACCTGCTGTTGAGAGGAAGCTCTGCTAACAAATAACTCAAGACTTTGAAACTAATACAAATAATAATAACAAAAAAATGCCAAAGTCTCAACAGGCCGCATGAAAACTGCAAGCTGTTGGAAATATTTGTATAGTGTGATAAGTTGATTTGAAGTGTGTGCTCAGTAGACGTTGGGGCCATGTTCCTCATCTAGCCACTTACAGACTCTTAACCCTTAACTTTCTCTGAAAGATATCTAGATTGAGCTCCTTCAGTCTACCAAAAATAAAAGAATCAGAGATGGTGTGGGTCTTCTACTTCAGTAGCTCCCAGCCTTTTTTATACTGGGGATTGACAAACCCATTTACAAACTTTTGGTGGGCTGGTAACATTTTATTTGCATATTCATTGTGCAAATAAAATGTTACTGGTCTGTCAAAAGCCCCGGATCCAGAGCCCCTCAGTGTCAGCCCTAACCCCTAGAGTCCCTCACCCCTCCACTACTCCCCTAGTGCTAGCCACTGACCCCAGAGTCCCCTGCACCCAACCCCCCAGTGCCAGACCCCCCCCACCAGCCTCCTGTTTGTAAACCCCACTGCACCCAACTCCTCCAGAGCCCTCCATAGTGCCAGTCCCCTTTATTAGCCCCATCCCCAGAGCTCCCCACTACTAGCCCTGCCCCATTTGTCAGCCTCCCACTACTAGCCCTGACCCCCCAGTGTCACCCCCATCTCTTAGCGCTCTGTAGTACTAGCCCTGTCCCCAGAGCCCCCCAGTATTAGCTTTCCCCCCCCCACCAGCCTCCTGTTTGTAAACCTCACTGCACCCAACTCCTCCAGAGCCCTCCATAGTGCCAGTCCCCTTTATTAGCCCCATCCCCAGAGCTCCCCACTACTAGCCCTGCCCCATTTGTCAGCCTCCCACTACTAGCCCTGACCCCCCAGTGTCACCCCCATCTCTTAGCGCTCTGTAGTACTAGCCCTGTCCCCAGAGCCCCCCAGTATTAGCTTTGTCCCCAGAATCCCCCAGTGCCAGCCCGCCCCCCTCACGTAGCCCTTCACTGCCTTCCAGCTGCCAAGTGAGGGCTGCTGCCCAGCTTGTGGCTGCTCTAAGGTTGCCATGCCAGGCTCTGCATGGCTCTCCCGCCAAGCAGGAAAGTGCTCTTCCGTGTCCAGGAAGAGACCCTCCCATCAGGCCATGGTGAGAGTGGTGTTTCCCAGCCTCCAGAGTTGCCACTGGCAGTTGGGAACCACAGCTCTACTCAATGAAGGAAGTGAGCTGCTTAAAAGGAGATGACAGGAAGGGAGAGCTACTGCATGCTTGTTTGTTTCAATCTTGTTTCACAAAGTATGGGATTGGATGGCAAGTGCTATTACCCTAGACAATAAAGAGGAAAGGATGCAGATCTGAAAGATAAAGGCCACATCACAGGCCTTCTGACTAATTTGAGTGAATTCAAGAAAGATGGTTACAGAGGGAGAGGTCTAGGTTGGATATTAGGAAAAACTATTTCCCTAGGAGGGTGGTGAAGCACTGAGAGAGGTTCCCTAGGGAAGTAGTGGAGTCTCCATCCCTAGAGGTGTTTAAGTCTCGGCTTGACAAAGCCCCGGCTGGGTTGATTTAGTTGGGATTGGTCCTGTGTTGGGCAGGGAGTTGGACTTGCCGACCTCCTGAGGTCTCTTCCAGCTCTAGGATTCTATGGAAGAATGACTGAAACATGCGTTGTGGTGCTAGAATCATAGACCCAGACTCATAGGGTAAGAGGGAACAAGGGCCGTCTAGTCTAGTCCAGTGTTTCTACAACTGTTGTCTGAGGGAACCCCTGAGTGTCCACAGGCCCCACTGATCCATTCCTCTCCCTCCTGGGGCTAAAGCAGCCTCCTTCCCTGAGGGTCCCTGTGGCCCCTAAACATGTGGGTGACCAAGGAGGCTTTTCGTGCTCTCCCCGCCCATGGCCCAGCTCCGCAGCTCTCACTGACTGAGAACCACAAGCAATGGGAGCTAGGAGGTGGCACTTGCGGGCATGGGGGGCACGCAGAGCCTAGAGACTGCTTCATGAGTGCCGCCTGAGCGGCCGTGCCAGTATGCCAATACAGAGATGATACAACCTTTTTGGGCCACACCATTGTACTGGGAGCTCTTTTTCAGCTTATGGTCGGTCTACTGTGGCCCTTCTATTTTTTTTCAGTCACTGCTTCCCGGGATCGTTCCCCACTCTGTAAATATGGCCTTCGTTTTTTCCCTAGACGCATCCATTCACATTTGGAGATATTAAAATACAGATTGTTGCCTTGTGTCCAGCTTATCAGATGATCCAGATCACTCTGACAGTGACCTGGCCTCCTCTTTATTTATCACTCCCTGTGTTGGTGTCATGTGCTAGCTTTCTGTGATTTTGTTTTCTTCCAAGTAAATAGCCAATTTTTGCAGCACCCAATTGGAAAAGTACCTGCTGGAAAATAATTCCCTTTTGACAGCTACATTTTGAGGCCCGTCATTGAGTCAGATTTGAATCCGTTTAATAAGAGTTTCATGTTGTTTTTTGTATCCTTCTAGTTTCTTAATCAAAATTTTGTGTAGTATCAAGTCAGATAACTGCAGAAGTCTACATCAGTATTATTATCTTTCTCAATCAAACTTGATATATTTTTTTAATAAGATTACAACTTAGGTTGACAGGATTTCCATAAACCCATGTTGATTTGCATTACAGTATCTCTCCTTTAATTCTTTATTAATTAAGTTCCATATCAGACAGCCCATTAACTTGCCAGAGATCCCTATCTGACTGACAGGTCTTTTAATTACCTGGATCGTCATCTTTGTTCTTTTTAAATATTGCCACATTAGATTTCTTCATATGTTCTCAAACTTTTCCTGTGTTCCCATAATTAAGATCCAATTTAATGTTGCAGCCAGCTCTCTTAACTCTAGGATGCAGGTTTATCTGGGCCTGTTAATTTAAATTTCTCTAACTTTAGAAGCTGCTGCTTAATAACCTCCTCTTGGAAAGTGTTTAATCAGCATATGTCTATATCTGATTTTTCCCAACACAACGGAAATATTTATTAACCTCATGGCTTTTCAGCGTTATTGTTAGTTCTACCATTTCCATTTAGGCATGGACCCAATATACTTATTTTGATTTTTATTTTGTCCGTAATATACTTTTAAACACTCATATAAGAACATAAGAACGGCCGTACTGGGTCAGACCAAAGGTCCATCTAGCCCAGTATCCTGTCTACCGACAGTGGCCAGCACCAGGTGCCCCAGAGAGGGTGGACCGAAGACAATGATCAAGCGATTTGTCTCCTGCCATCCCTCTCCAGCCTCTGACAAACAGAGGCCAAGGACACCATTTTATCCCCTGGCTAATAGCCTTTTATGGACCTAACCTCCATGAAATTATCTAGCTTCTCTTTAAACTCTATTATAGTCCTAGCCTTCACAGCCTCCTCTGGCAAGGAGTTCCACAGGTTGACTACACGCTGTGTGAAGAAGAACTTTCTTTTATTAGTTTTAAACCTGCTACCCATTAATTTCACTTGGTGTCCTCTAGTTCTTCTATTATGGGAACTAATAAATAACTTTTCTTTATCAGCCCTCTCCACACCACTCATGATTTTATAGACCTCTATCATATCCCCCCTCAGTCTCCTTTTTTCTAAACTGAAAAGTCCCAGTCTCTTTAACCTCTCCTCATATGGGACCCGTTCCAAACCCCTAATCATTTTAGTTGCCCTTTTCTGAACCTTTCCAAGGCCAAAATATCTTTTTTGAGGTGAGGAGACCACATCTGTACACAGTATTCAAGATGTGGGCGTACCATAGTTTTATACAGGGGCAGTAAGATATTCTGGGTCTTATTTTCTATCCCTTTCCTAATAATTCCTAGCATCCTATTTGCCTTTTTGACCGCCGCTGCACACTGTGTGGAAGTTTTCAGAGAACTATCCACAATAACTCCAAGATC